AAGTATGAGACCTTAGAGCTTTGTGAAGAGTGGTGGAAGTGATGTAGGAATGTCTAAGAGGGTATAAGGTTTACACCTCGGGTAGTGAGAATGGTGTTTGTGTGTGCTGCTTAGTGTTTTAAAATTTTGATTTGTGAGTTCATTGGGATCCTATCGACCATGAATAGGGTTGGTGCTGTGTCAAGTTTGATTGTGAGTTAATAAAGGTGTGTGGAATGAGCTTGTAGTATTGTTAGATTTTGGTGGAGATTTGAGTGGGGAAAAGAATTTCGTGGGTAGATACTTGAAGTATTACTAGAGCGATGAATGGTTGGTGTTTTTAGGAAACGAGTGTACGGTTGGCGAGAATTGTCTTGGGTGACCCGGATCGTGTGATCGCTGTTGACCTACTCAGTCTTGTGTTGGGTATAAGAGTGTGTTGGCCATCTAGGCATGTGAATAGAATTCCTTTGGGAGTGGTATGTGGGTGTTTGGAGACCGGGAGCGGAAACTCTCGGGTGATTAGTTAAGTGAAATGGTATCGAGGTGGGTGACAAATAGTCACTTTAGAGCGGTTTAGATGTGGGTTGTAAGGTTGAGCTTTTGAAAAATTGGTACAATTTGGCTAGAAGGCGGCATGGTGCCGTAGGTCGTGCCTAGGGCATTGGGCCTTGCGTTTGTGCGTGGTTATTGTTGTACGCATCTCGGTGTAAGTTTTTGAAGTAAGTGAATCGAGGTAGAGTATTAGCTTATGGGCTGGGAATACTCATAGGCTTTTGGGTATTGTTGCTCATTTTCAGTAATGTTTGTGTGGGTATGGAACTCTCGGAGTTTGGAAAGTTATGTGTGTTGCATTGTTCCATTTAACATCGTGATTATTTCTAATTGTTGTTGTATTGGAAGATGTGGTAGTCTCCTTGTGAAAACACTGTAAGTGTGATGGATGCGATTAGGTGATGGTGGGGACTCACCAGGTGTTGTTGAGAAGATAAACTGATATGTGATTGTTGATTTTTGAAAACTTTCTTGGCATTTCCATTTCAATTAAAACCCTTGGGGTAAAAATTTTAAAGCTCATTTTGGGAAAAATAATTACCAAATAAATTGTTTTTACTCGAAGTTTACAACACGAAATCCTTCATTGGAAAACAGTACGAATTCAAAAAAAAGAAAAGAAAAGAGAGATATATTTTTCTTTCAGGATGACGAGAACAATCCTTATTTTAACTAGTTTATGTGATCATGTCATTATTTTGTGTAAATAATAACTTGTGTGGTCAGAATAATGTTATTGACTGAATGGAATGGTATAATTGTTGTATTATGTTAATTAATATCGTGGAAAAGCTATGTTATGTTGTTACGGTTGTGGCATCACCATGTGGGTGATGGGTGTTGTTGGTTAACGGCAAGGATCCGCCGGTTGTTACGGTGGAGCGGAAATTAAAATGAACGAGTTTTGGATTTTGCTTGAAAGGAAGAAAATGCATCTTTGACTGGTGACCGGTGTGAGTTTGAAACACTTTTGAGAAAATGTTTTGTTTATAAAGAAATGACTTTTTCACATAATTGAGAAAAAGATGAAAACCTTCTTTTGGAATTGAGTTGTTATTTATTGTACCTTTATGGTTGTAATGGTGTAACCACTTTGATTGTATTTCTAAATCTCGAGCTTTGTGCATTCGCTTATGTGGATGGTTGGGCGTTGTAAGAACTTGTTAGACCAGAGTCTTGTCTCAAGCCGAGTTTTGTTGTGACCTTTTCTTTAAATGAGGTAATCAAGGATCTTGTGGTAAAAATCTAGTTTCCATCTTGTTAGAGTGTTAAGCGTGGAGAGTGTTTGGGCTAATGGTTGCCGTGGTCGTTCGTTGGTCTTGTCTTATAGACCCTGTGAGTAATGTGAATCGAGGGGAAGTCTGTGACCCTTCCTTGTGTTCTTGACCAATTCGGTACCCTTGGCGTTCTTAGAGTCGGGGTAGTACTCCAAATTTGGTTGTGGCTGGAAGTTGGTGTTGAGTTCCTTTGGTTGGTTGGGAGGTCTTCCTTGGCACCATCTGAGGCCTTGTATGGCCGATCCTGTAGGTCACCAGTTTGTTTGGGCCGAGGTGGGGGATGCACCATTGTTGGGTCTGGAGTTGCTAGGGAGACAACCGAGAAAGTTTCTCTCATCCGAAAGAGGTTAGTTATGGCCCAAAGCCGATAGAAAAGTTATACCGATAGGAGGAGGCAACCTCTGTTCTTTGAAGAGGGCAATCGTGTGTTCCTTAATATCTCACCTAGGCAAGGTTTGATGAGGTTCGGTAAGAATGATCAGTGGTCTCCGAGGTTCTTTGGGCCTTCGAGTTAGTGGGGAAGATCGAGGAAATGATGTACCCGTTAGCTTTACTGCGGGGTTCATTATGTGTTCCAAGACCATACTGTTAGTGAAGGTGTCGTGGAGACACCATGGGATTGAGGAAGTGACTTGGGAACGGGAAGCGGAGGTCCGCTCCAAGTATCTGGATTTGTTTGAGCACGCTTGGTTGCTTTGTTTTAATTGTAATGTTTCCTAGTGTTAAGGAAAGGAATGATGGATTGTTGATCGTATGTTGTTGTACATATTGTAAATCTAAGCCAGAGATTATGAAAGAAAGACAATTGCTGTAAACGTTTTATTCCGAAAGCTTGATATGAGGAACTATTATTTCGGAGAATGATGATAAAGGGCATGATATATGGTTACAGATAATTCATTTCATTGTAAGTTTGAGCAATTATGTCTTGACGAGTTGATGATGAGAAGAATGTTAAACGTTGATTGAAAATAAATGTTGTAATTTGATAATGTTGTTGAAATAACCATTGTTGCTAGAACACTTTTGCTTAGTGAGTTTGTCCAAATTTCGAGGACGAAATTTCCTATGATGGGGAGGTTGTGATGACTGGCTTTCTTTTTCCTTTTCTTCTCTTTCGCTTCATTCTCTTTTTTATTTATTTTCGTTGGATTGAAACGTACGGAATTGGTTTCTTGGTGCTTATTTCTTTCGGTGTTGTATTTCGATTGTTCCGGAGGGTGTGCGAGTGAGTCTGAAGTGCCGGGAGCGAAACAAAATTTTGGGTGGCTGGGCTTGGGCCGCACGTGCAGGGTTGGGCCGCTCGAGCGGTGAAGGCTGAGACCCAGGAATTTCCATTCTGTCTAGAGCGCACGAGCGGAGAAAATAGGCTGCACGAACGGTCAAGGTGGGAAGCTCGAGCGGTGGAGAAGGCCACACGAGCGGCCAAACGGGCAGTCCGAGCTCTGTTTTTATATAACATTTTGATCCGAATATATCTCTCATTATACTCATCTCCATCTCACTCTAAAACCTATATTTCTCTCCCTTCTCTCTAGAAAACACCTCAATCACCCAAAACTCTTTGATTCTTGAGATTCTTGGAGCAAGATTTTTGCAAATTCTTGGGTCAAGATCTTCATCTTCTCCCTCTAAATCTTGGAGATCAAGAACTAGGGCTTCATTTGGGTTGAAGAAATCAAAGCTCACTCTCATCTTTCAAAGCTAGGGTTTCATCTCATCTTGTTCTTCATCAAGCTTTAAGGTAGGGATTTCTTGAGTTATATATACAAGTTTTGCTAGACTAATGTTGATTTAAAAAGGATTTTGAAGTTTTGAGTTGGTTTCTTTGATTTTGATTTCAAAAAGAAGAGGGTCTTGAATGTGAGCTTGTATTTCAACCTTTTACTATTATTTTGTGGGTTTTCCTCTATTAAACTCATGGAAAATGGTGTGATGGAGTTCCTATAAAAAAATGATGGAGTTTTGTTTTTAATAAATACCCTAGAAATTGGAAATTTTCTTAAAAAGTAGAAAGGCCTGTGGAAGTTCTTCTTTTCTTGTGATTGATGGATGAATGAGCATTGATTTTATGATGTAGTTGCTTATAGCAATTTCTTGATGTATGTATAAAATGGAGGTCCATTTTTGAAGTCCATTGATAAATGTATATATGTGTAGAGTTGTAAGATGGCAAGTTGTTGAGTGCCATAGATGATGTAAAAATGTTTGATATTAATGAAATGGAAAAATAAAGTGAAAGATGACATGCTGGCCATATTGAAAGGGTTGATCGTGATGAATCATTGTTGAGAAATTGTGATGGTGTGTTGAAGACACATGATTATTTGCGAAATGAGAAACGTATTTGTGAAAGTGAGAAAGGTATTGTTTATTATTGTTGTTAAGCCATTTTGTAAATAGAGAAGTGTTATGAGATATTAATTATTGCCTCTCATTTCCATCTGATTTAATATCACCATTGTCTATGAAGTGAATTATTACCATTGTTGCATTCTCATCATGTTTACTTAAGAAGGATTATATTGTAATGAGAACTAATGGAAATGGGTATGGGGTAAATACGTTGGTAAATCCGGATGGGGGGTGTAGATGAATTTGATAAGTTGGCCTGAGTGTCCAGGGTGAAAGACCTGAAAGCCGCGCGGATAGGTGTCGAGCCTTCCAGTTAATACCGGTAAAAATGACAGTTTGGTAGTGCTCGTAGAGACTACTTGCAGACACCAGCCTAGGGATTACCAGCGTCGTATTTACCGCCCCTGTTGATTTAAATATTGGAAGTTTGAAATTGATGAGATTGCTAAATATTATCGAGAACATGATGAATTTAAATTGTACATTGAATATTATTGAGAACATGATGATTTTGAACTAGTGCATCAAAATAAGATTTTCCTTCATTATTGGCACTTGCATGGCATTACATATGCATTTTTAACGTTGATGGAATTGGCATAACTGTATATACTTTGTGAGAAATCTCTACTGGGCGTTATGCTCACCCCTATGGGAATTGGTACAGGTAAAGATGTGGTGGCCCCGCCAAGCTAAGGACGTGGAGATGTTTTGAAGAAGAGTAGTTTGACTCTTATTTTGTTGTGATATTTGTTATACCCTGGCTAATGATCCTAGGTTATGTGTCAAGAACCAGGGGTTACAGGGTAGGCCCTCTGGCATATCTAGTATTTTGTTGGATAATAGTAGCCTTGGAAGTATATGATTTGCTTTTAATAATAGCTCAGCAAAGGGGGGTAGAAAGAGGGGAAGATGAGATAATGATAGATATGCTGCCTCGAGGAGATTTTTCTTGGATATCTCAGCTATGCTTTCCTGAATATGGAAGTCTTGCTGCTTGAATTGCCAGTCTCCATTGTTTAATCATGGTTAGGCATACCTGACCTAAGGAAAATTCTGTGTCTGTCTGGAATCTGTGGCTAGTTAAAAGTCTTTGTTGGGTCTGTTAAATTACTGGTATGCGTGTATGTATAGGTGCTTGGTGTAAAGATGCACATGTCAAAAGGGGAAAAAAAAAAAACCCTTCTGCAACAACTAGCTCCCTCCCTTCTTTCAGTTACTGCACTACTTCAAATCCCATAAAAGTGACATGTTAAAATATAGGAAAATGCAATTTCAAATCAAATTTAATACTGTAATAGTATTTATGTTTGTGTTTAGTTCCATTCTTAAGGACTACTTAGTTCATTCTGTTTGGTGTTATTCTCTAGTTTGAATTTCGGTGAATTCCATTCTAATGTTTGATTCTTACCCAAGGCTAATGATATTGAATCAGAATCGGTATTTAAGTTTTTATGTTAATGCATTGTTTCAGCATATATATCCAAACTGATTTTGAGTTGACTTATCCTCTAAGTAATGCAGTCCAAGTGATTGGATATATGTAGAAGCAGAGTTGAAGAGGCGTCTTGGAAGAAACTTTTTAATTTACGGTATGATCATCTACACAGTGAGCCTTTTTTTTTTTTGGCCACTAATTAATATTCGATCTTGTGATAAAGGGTTAGTTGATTTTGATAGTTTGTAATTACAAAGATGAGAACAGATGGCATCAGTTGAGAGAATTACCCAGTATGTGTGAGGTTATATGGAATGGGAGGTGGGGAAGGAAGAAGTAAGGTGTTGGTGTGAAGGGAAAAAATTGTGTTTTCTTTCTTTAATGCAAGACTTAGTTTTTGGTGGGAAATGTATCATGATGGATGGAATGGCTGGGATGAAGAGTTTAGTAAAAAGAACTTGCAATCTTATTATTTATCAAGGACATGGCTTTTGATCACCTATGCAACAACGTAGTTTGTATTTGTGATAATAGATAGGTCAATGTGGCACAGAAAAATGATGATGTCGAAGTTTCTAACTCTCATAGACGTCAAAAAGAAGTTATGTAACTCTCATGAATGGTCTGTCAATTGTTGTAGAAATTTAATTTTGGAATCTACTAGTTTCTGACATAAGGGGCGACCATTGGTTTAATGGTAAAAACTTTGCCTAATAACCTTAAGGTTATGGGTTCAAGTCACGAGACAACCACTTTGTGTACTATGTCAAAAGTTAGGTGTATACGCAATATTTCTCCAACTAAACACACATTAATATGTACTAATTGGGCGTTGTTTTTACTATTTTCTGACCTAATTTCAAGATATGCTAATTGATTACTAGGTTAAAGTTTAAGTGTTTCTATGCAGCAAGTTCTTGCAACAGTTACACAAAAACCTTCGCTGGGATTGACGGAGCTGGAAAAAGATTAGCAGATGAAGTGAGTATAATATTTATGTGCATGTTTGTATGTATCGGTCTCAATTATGTAGCTTAAGGGCCACTGCCGGTTGTAATGGTCAAAGCTCAGGCTGAGGCATGAATACTTGGGTTTGTATTTAGGCCAGTCGCTTTCTCCAAACAAAATTGCAAGTCGGAACTACATCCAGTTCACCCACTGGGTCGTGGATACAAGTTGAAACCAACACTTTATTCTTTTCTCTATTCTATTTCTTCCAAGTGTTGATTAAACAAGAACCAGATTGCGACAATTTTGTTTCAATTTGTAGCCTGTGGCTGTGGTGACGAATTACTTGTTGATTGTTATGTTTTCTGTGGACTTTTGTGTTGAACAGATCATGCAAATAGTAAAAAGGACAGAGAGCTTAAAAAGGATCTCCTTCTTAGCCCATTCCCTTGGTGGAGTGTTTGCCAGATATGCAATTGCGGTCCTTTATTCACCAGCTGCCTTTGATGGTGATCAGTCTAATGATTTACCTGCTTCTACCAATGCAAACTTGAAAACAGCATGCTCTTCAAGACGAGGTATGATTGCAAAGTTGGAGCCAGTCAATTTCATTACCTTGGCAACTCCACATCTTGGGGTGAGAGGGAAGAAGCAGGTTCGTTTTCTTTGATATTGCCTGTTCTGTTAATATGATTGCTGCATAATGGCTATTTACATTGATACAAATCCGGGTGTTCATTCTTGTGCTTCACTTTTGGATTTTACTTGCGTGTCTGATTGAGAAGAAGAAAAGAAACAACGTTACGTTGCAGTACTGGTTGGCATTGTGTTATAATTGATCTTAGTATTTTTCCTTCTTTTTTTTCCACCTCATGTACAATTCGATAATATTTTTATTTTTTTTTTTGTGAAATTTTAGGGTGTGTTTGGTAACGTTTACGTTTTCAGTTTATATTTATAAAAATTTTATAAACTAGTTTTTGTTTAATTTTTGTTTATTTATAGAAAACCATAAACTATAAACGCGTTTGGTAATTGACAAAATGTTTAAAAAATTTAAAAATATAAAAAAGAGTGAGAAATAACAAGTGGTGGCAAGTGGCGACGGAAAACGGTGGTGGAAAGTGGTGACGGTGGGTGGTGGG